TATCGATATAACATTAGGTCAGTTTCACTTGCTTTAGTCCAGTTTAAGTTTTCTCCATGATAGTACCCAACATGTAGAGGAAGAAGTATACAGACAAGTATTGGTAGGTGATCCGAGATGTTATATGGGATGCCAGTGTCAATGACATATCCAGTTACACTGCTTAGTGAATCAATGTCTACAAAGACATAGTCAATTAATGATTTTACTTTGTTACATTTACTATGGAAAGTGTACCTTGACTCGTCAAGTGGAACCACAGAATAAAGGTGACGTTCGCTAAGCAGTCGTAAGAGGCACCTAGCCCTGGGTTTCATATTAATACCATGACTGATATCAGTATTAAAGTCTCCTAGGAGGTATGTTGGGTATTCTTGAGAGAGAGAATATCATAAAGTTCCATAACATAGTACAGTTCTTCATAGTACACACTGTCAAGGACATTTGTCGATGGCAGTCTAGTCCCAAGTATATACACATGGCTGGTAAAGATGTGCAGTTTGATACACAGTACGTGGCGGCTGTGGTGGGTGTCAATAAGAGTAGCTTTACACCAGTCACCTTTCCGTACAAACATGGCTACACCTCCATAACCTCGTTGGTGCTGGTTAGAGTCACAACTGGATTTAGAATACACATTAAATTTGTCATGTAGTGTCTCCAGAGACTGTGAATTTTCCATGTCTAGCCAGTGCTCTGTAACAAGCACGACGTCGAGTTTATTGCACAGCTCAGACGTTCCATGTTTGATACCACGAATGTTCCATGTCGCTAGGTTAACGACGGTCATCAGTGTACATCCATAGATGGTCAGACTTGCAAGATAAGGCATCATGGTTAATATTCACTCTCGCCTTGTTTATCATTAGAGTACCATGTATTCCGGGGAACCCATTCTCTGCAGTTCACGTTCTCTGGCCAGAATGTGTTGTCGTCCAATATTATCTTGGCACACTGTACAGGGACTGCAATACGGATGGTATAGGTCGGGTTAGAGCCTTCCCAATGTCGCAGGAGAATTATATTCGTAATGGTCACACCCCGTTCTTTGGCGTAGTCAACGATAGCATCTTTCACTATGTCAAAAGATTCGTCTGCTCTCACATATGACATGACGAGTCGCCTGTTTTTTGTATTTAGCCACACCTGTGAAGGATCGTCTCCACTGATTGTTAAACCTCACAGACCTTGATTGCTGTTGTTTCTTAGATTGATTAGATGTATTGTCTTGGGTTAAGGTTGGCTTGTATCTCGTGCCGAAAGAGTCATGACACATTTCATTATTGCAGATGAAAAGTTCAATGTTGATTACCAGACACCCACATGTCACAAAAACAGGTATCACATTCAGTATCTTGTACGGCCTCCACGGGCATCAATGCAAGCCTGTACTCGTCTCCTCATGGAAAACGTAAGTCGCCTGATGACGTCATTTGGAATTCTTGCCCATTCCTCACGGAGAGCATTTTCAAGCTGTCGTACATTAACGGGCTGCTGTTGCCGAAGTCGGAGTTGTCTTCCGAGATGGTCCCATAGATGTTCAATCGGGTTGAGGTCAGGTGAACGAGCGGGCCATGGCAATACATCAATATTATGGTGTTGGAGAAAGTCTGTGGTGATCCTGGCTTTGTGGGGTCTGGCGTTATCATGCTGGAAAAGAATTCCATGATGTTGTCGCATGAAAGGCAGTACAACAGGTCGCAACACCTCATCACTGTATCGCTGGGCATTCAGATTGCCATGAATTGTCACTAAACGTGTCTTCTGATCACCACAAATTGCTCCCCAGACCATAACACCACCACCACCAAAGGGGTGAACATCTTGTATACAGTTTGGTGCCAACCGTTCTCCCCGACGCCGATACACCCTAATTCTACCGTCAGCATGAAACAGATTGAATCTGCTCTCATCACTGAAGAGGACACGTACCCAGTTACGACGTTGCCACCGATGCACAGTCCTTGTCCACTGTAAACGGTTCCTACGATGTAGAAGTGTCAAGGACATGCCACGGACAGGTCGATAGGCCCGGATACCAGCAGCACGGAGTCGCCTCATCACTGTGTACCTGCTGATGCGGTGACCTAATGCTGTCGCTGCTGATGACGTTGCAGTCAACGTTCGATTGTGTAAATGGATTATCCGCAGGTGCTGGTCATCTTGTGGTGTCGTGACTCTCGGACGTCCAGTTCGGGGTCGGTCAGCTGTCTGGCTTGTCTGTTGAACACGTCTGAACAGTCTGATTATGGTTTGTCTTGTTCACTGGAAGGTCCTTGCAATATGACTGTTGGACGCCCCCATCTGTGGCATACCAATGGCTCTCTCTCTTTGCGCTGGTGTAAGTCTTGGCATTTTCTTCATGTGTTTATTGTCGTCTGCCATATCAGCATTGGGATGAGTGTCTTTTATACCCGTTTACAAGTTGATTGCATGTGCAAGAGGGAATAATCACAATTTCCACAAATTTCGTGTTGCACGTGCAGCCACACATATGGCTGCATTTTGAACATTTTACCCCCTATAGTTGCGTTTGTGAGATCTATTTTCAGTGCAAATCTTGAAACGAGCTTCATGTATGGTGAAAAAAGTTTAGGTGTGTACTTTCTTTTGAACGTCAGTTTAGCTGAACAAACAACTCCAAATGTCGTTACTACAACACATGCAACCCGTCACACTGATCAAAAGCAACTTACAAACACAATCATAATCTGGTTAATCTGTATCACTCAACGAAGTTGAGAGCGGGGAGTAGCCTACTCTGTTCACAGTTTGGAGCAGCTCATTAATTAGTGGGTAAGTCCAGGCAGTTACACTGGTCACACTTAACTGGTCTGTCTCATGATTGGGCCGTCTGACAAATGGGAGTGAACCGAGTTTACAGTTATCCGTTTCTGCGAAGGAAAATTCCAAGCTGACGTTTCTTTTGCTGCTTAGTATATCTGTCCCCTGACTATACACCGTACTTCAGATAGGATTTGTAGGAGTGAAATGTCAAGATGAGGCCGATGTAATCTATTCAGCTTGTAAACCTGGGCCTAGATTTTCGAAGCTCTCTTAGCGCTAAGATAGTCGTAAGTGCCATACATTAACATTAACTTACGACTATCTTAGCGCTAAGAGAGCTTCGAAAATCTAGGCCCTGTTCACTACGTTCTGATATTATGATAATTTAGTATGTAGGGTGAAAGCGTAGTGCATGGCGTTGCCGAAAATGATTAGGATAACAATGTAGTATATAGCATGTGCATGGCAATGTAGTATGTATCATGACAATGTAGTATATATCATGACAATGAAGTATTTAGCATGACAATGTATTATGTAGCATGACAATGTATTATATATCACGACAATGCAGTTTATAACATCACAATGTAGTATTTAGCATGGCAATGTAGTATATAGCATGACAATGTATTATATAGCATGACAATGAAGTATTTAGCATGACAATGTATTATTAGCATGGCAATGAAGTAATTAGTATGGCAATGTATGTAGCATGACAATGTAGTATATATCATGACAATGTAGTATATATCATGACAATGTATTATATATCATGACAATGTATTATATATCATGACAATGTAGTATTTAGCATGACAATGTAGTATGTAGCATGACAATGTAGTATTTAGCATGCCAATGTAGTATTTAGCATGACAATGTAGTATATAGCATGACAATGTAGTATGTAGCATGGCAATGAAGTATATAGTGTGGCAATATAATATACAGCAAGCTAATAAAGTACATCATGTAAGAATGTAGTATTTGACATGGCGATGTTGTTTTGATTATGACAATGTTTCCAAGTGTACGGCCACTTCTTCCTCTGCACTGTACATAACAAAGTATTGCTGATTCAACACAACCTTGACCGTTACAAGCACACAAGTTGTTTTACACAATGCTGGTATGGGTGAATACTTCTCCTGAGCCGGGTGATTGCTGTCAATCAAACTGTCCATAGCAACGACTCGAATCTTCAGGTGTTTGCCAGGAACTGCAAAGCCACAATGGGTTGGTGAATACTTCTCCTGTAGACTGTTGTTAGACAATTGGACAATTGGTAGGTGAATACTTCTCCTGTAGACTGTGTTAGACAATTGGTAGGTGAATACTTCTCCTGTAGAATGTGTTAGACAATTGGTAGGTGAATACTTTCTCTGTGTTAGACGTAGACTTCTCCTGTGTGTTAGACAATTGGTAGGTGAATACTTCTCCTGTAGACTGTGTTAGACAATTGGTAGGTGAATACTTCTCCTGTAGACTGTGTTAGACAATGAGTTGGTGAATACTTCTCCTGTAGACTGTGTTAGACAATGAGTTGGTGAATACTTCTCCTGTAGACTGTGTTAGTAGACTTCTCCTGTAGACTGTGTTAGACAATGGTGTGTTAGACAATGAGTTGGTGGATACTTCTCCTGTAGACTGTGTTAGACAATGAGTTGGTGAATACTTCTCCTGTAGACTGTGTTAGACAATGAGTTGGTGAATACTTCTCCTGTAGACTGTGTTAGACAATGAGTTGGTGAATACTTCTCCTGTAGACTGTGTTAGACAATTGGTAGGTGAATACTTCTCCTGTAGAATGTGAATGGTGGACACTTCTCCCTGTAGACTGTGTTAGACAATGAGTTGGTGAATACTTCTCCTGTAGACTGTGTTAGACAATGAGTTGGTGGATACTCTCCTGTAGACTGTGTAGACTGTGTTAGACAATGAGTTGGTGAATACTTCTCCTGTAGACTGTGTTAGACAATGAGTTGGTGAATACTTCTCCTGTAGACTGTGTTAGACAATTGGTAGGTGAATACTTCTCCTGTAGATTGTGTTAGACAATGTTAGTTGGTGAATACTTCTCCTGTAGACTGTGTTAGACAATTGGTAGGTGAATACTTCCTCTGTAGACTGTGTTAGACAATGGGTAGGTGAATACTTCTCCTGTAGACTGTGTTAGACAATGGGTGGTGGATACTTCTCCTGTAGATTGTGTTAGACAATGGGTAGGTGAATACTTCTCCTGTAGACTGTGTTAGACAATGAGTTGGTGAATACTTCTCCTGTAGACTGTGTTAGACAATTGGTAGGTGAATACTTCTCCTGTAGACTGTGTTAGACAATGAGTTGGTGAATACTTCTCCTGTAGACTGTGTTAGACAATGGGTAGATGAATACTTCTTCCTGTAGACTGTGTTAGTGGTTGGTGAATACTTCTCCTGTAGACTGTGTTAGACAATGGGTTGGTGATACTTCTCCCGTAGACTGTGTGTTAGACAATGAGTTGGTGGATACTTCTCCTGTAGACTGTGTTAGACAATGAGTTGGTGGATACTTCTCCTGTAGACTGTGTTAGACAATGAGTTGGTGAATACTTCTCCTGTAGACTGTGTTAGACAATGAGTTGGTGGATACTTCTCCTGTAGACTGTGTTAGACAATGGGTTGGTGAATACTTCTCCTGTAGACTGTGTTAGACAATGAGTTGGTGAATACTTCTCCTGTAGACTGTGTTAGACAATTGGTAGGTGAATACTTCTCCTGTAGACTGTGTTAGACAATTGGTAGGTGAATACTTCTCCTGTAGACTGTGTTAGACAATTGGTAGGTGAATACTTCTCCTGTAGACTGTGTTAGACAATGAGTTGGTGAATACTTCTCCCCCTGACAATGATTGTGTTAGACAATGAGTTGGTGAATACTTCTCTGTGTAGACTGTGTGTTAGACAATGAGTTGGTGGATACTTCTCCTGTAGACAATGAGTTGGTGTGTAGACTGTGTAGACAATGAGTTGGTGGATACTTCTCCTGTATACTGTGTTAGACAATGGTTGGTGAATACTTCTCCTGTAGACTGTGTTAGACAATTGGTTGGTGGATACTTCTCCTGTATGACTGTACTTCTCCTGTAGACAATAGACAATGGTAGGTGAATACTTCTCCTGTAGACTGTGTTAGACAATTGGTTGGTGAACTTCTCCGTAGACTGTGTTCTTCCCGTAGACTGTGTTAGACAATTGGTTGGTGAATACTTCTCCTGTAGACTGTGTTAGACAATGAGTTGGTGGAATACTTCTCCTGTAGACTGTGTTAGACAATTGGTAGGTGAATACTTCTCCTGTAGACTGTGTTAGACAATTGGTAGGTGAATACTTCTCCCGTAGACTGTGTTAGACAATTGGTAGGTGAATACTTCTCCTGTAGACTGTGTTAGACAATGAGTTGGTGAATACTTCTCCTGTAGACTGTGTTAGACAATTGGTAGGTGAATACTTCTCCTGTAGACTGTGTTAGACAATGAGTTGGTGAATACTTCTCCAATGAGTTGGTGAATACTTCTGTAGACTGTGTTAGACAATGAGTTGGTGAATACTTCTCCTGTAGACTGTGTTAGACAATGAGTTGGTGGATACTTCTCCTGTAGACTGTGTTAGACAATGAGTTGGTGGATACTTCTCCCGTAGACTGTGTTAGACAATGAGTTGGTGGATACTTCTCCTGTAGACTGTGTTAGACAATGATTTGGTGGATACTTCTCCTGTAGACTGTGTTAGACAATGGGCAGGTGAATACAGGCAAGCATGAAATTTGAAATTTATCATCAAACGCCGCCGATCGTGGTACCAAATCACTAGTCCGGTTTGTTTATCATTTATCTGATGCGCTCGTAAAATATATCAAAGTTCCTGTTTTTTTTCAAGAGACGATTCGAACTGTTTCTATCTCTGACGCTGTACCAAAGAGTGAACTGGTGAACATTGTCCGATGAGGTCCTCAGTACATGTTAATGTCACCCTGCAAGATCTCACGCCTATGTTTGTCGTGATAGGCAGCTAACGGCTCACTGGCTGGGTTGATGCACGCAGCTCGATCTCCAAGATGTCCCTTACTGGATTGTCTGGTCCAGAATCGATTCTTTACGCACTTCAAAAAGATGGAATATTACTAAGTGCAGTTTCAAACAACAAAACAAGCCACAACCCGCGTTCAATGTCATATGACTTAACTTACATCCTGCCGTGGTTCGTGTCCTAGTCGGAGTCAAACCCGGGTCTTTGGTGTGACATGTGAACATTTGACCCACTAGGCCAGCCCACCGCTTTGTTTGTTTATGAAGTAAACACCAAAATCAACACGAGCATTGTGTTGTAACTTCTGTCACCCAAAACCAACTTCTTGACATGTCTCCGTGTTTGTTTTCATTCGTATTTAATTAAGGAGGCTCGGTATGCGCACCTATAACCGGATATTATACAGATTCGTACAACGTCATATGGCAGTTGACTCAAAGTATTGGGTTTGCTGTGCTACTCGAAACTTAGGTCTCAACTAAAAGCGGACTTTGAATAATCTAGATTTACTTGATAATTCTGTGATTGACATTAATATCGAGTTCACGACCTATCCATCATTGTTATGATTGCAATACTAGTTCCACTTGTAACAATCCTTATGTGGTCATTGGTGTCCTGTGACAATATCTACATACCATATACTGTATAACGCTGAGATGACTCCTGGGTTTGTTGAAAGTGAAACAGGGATTATCTGCCGTCATCACCACAACATCCCCTGTCTTGTTTTTTAACACTAACTTATTAAGATTCTTATTTAAAACGTTATTAAAATATTACGTGCACAGATGTTCAACTGATTCCACGTTGACCTTCAAGAACGTCAGTGAGGTCACGCAAGAGACCTTGACCCTGGAGACGTTCAAGTTCGACAACTCGAGCATGGTGTATTTCCACTGCGAGGTGTTGGTTTGCAACGTCACGGACCCCGATTCCAGGTGCCACCATGGTTGTCTCACCCCGGGGAGGGGGAGGAGGGACGTCGAGGGGAGGGGGAAAGACCAGGATGTGTACCTAGCGTCCCATGAGCTGACGGTGGGGCCGGTAGAGATGCAGGGAGAACCTAACAGCACAGTGCGCGTGAAGAAGTCAGGTATGTCTTAGTAAAAGAACGGGTGAAATTTCAAAGTCACCGTTAGAAAAGCTGCGTTATTGTCTCAACACCAATGGCACCCAAGTTTGCCTTTTTATAACTCTGAATATGCTGTGACACAAAGCGCTACGTTTTCCGTGCAAGTAGGTTTGACATTAAAAATCTAAATGGATAAATAAAGTTTTATGTTGAGTTAAGTGGTATTCTAGCAATAACACTGCGTGGGTCATCTGACTGGTTTAATGTCATGGTCGCAAACATGGTGCTTGTTTCAGACCTACCAGCGATCCCACCCTCTGACCCCGAAACGGGGAGGGCCGCCATGACGGCAGGATTAGCGCTCCTGGGCGTGGCGCTCATCATGATCACCGTCGCACTCTCCATCATTGTCAAGCGTGACGAGGAGGTCGATATAAAGGCCAAGGACGACGCTGAAGAAAAACTTATCAACGGAGATAAATGAAATAAAATGTTTGTTTGTTTTCACAAAAGTTTACAAATACTCGTCCAGTGGTGAAGATATCAGAATTTCAAGTTATGCTTTTGAGGCAAGTGAGGCTGTTTCAGAATGTTATCATACTTAAGTGACAAAATGCATCTGAATATGACCATACACAACATACAAGCATACTAATCCTATTTTGAAAATGAGGACGCCGCACCAACTGTATCGCAGACCAATTGGACGACTCAACATTGGACGACTCAACATTTTGCATAATGAAGGGATCTCACATACGAAGAAATGTACCTGTGAGAGCACTCTTGTAGGTATGGTGCTACTCCGTCAAGGGTTCGGGAGACCGTCAAACCTGATGATATAGTGCTATAGAGCTCTATGTAATAATGTAGCCGATATACAACCAATCTCCAACCATTGACCTGATGATATAGTGCTATAGAGATCTATGTAATAATGTAGCCGATATACAACCAATCTCCAACCATTGACCTGATGATATAGTGCTATAGAGATCTATGTAATAATGTAGCCGATATACAACCAATCTCCAACCATTGACCTGATGATATAGTGCTGTAGAGATCTATGTAATAATATAGCCGATATACAACCAATCTCCAACCATTGACCTGATGATATAGTGCTGTAGAGATCTATGTAATAATGTAGCCGATATACAACCAATCTCCAACCACTGACCTGATGATATAGTGCTGTAGAGATCTATGTAATAATGTAGCCGATATACAACCAATCTCCAACCATTGACCTGATGATATAGTGCTATAGAGATCTATGTAATAATGTAGCCGATATACAACCAATCTCCAACCATTGACCTGATGATATAGTGCTATAGAGATCTATGTAATAATGTAGCCGATATACAACCAATCTCCAACCATTGACCTGATGATATAGTGCTATAGAGATCTACGTAATAATGTAGCCGATATACAACCAATCTCCAACCATTGACCTGATGATATAGTGCTATAGAGATCTATGTAATAATGTAGCCGATATACAACCAATCTCCAACCATTGACCTGATGATATAGTGCTATAGAGATCTATGTAATAATGTAGCCGATATACAACCAATCTCCAACCATTGACCTGATGATATAGTGCTATAGAGATCTATGTAATAATGTAGCCGATATACAACCAATCTCCAACCACTGACCTGATGATATAGTGCTATAGAGATCTATGTAATAATGTAGCCGATATACAACCAATCTCCAACCATTGACCTGATGATATAGTGCTATAGAGATCTATGTAATAATGTAGCCGATATACAACCAATCTCCAACCATTGACCTGATGATATAGTGCTATAGAGATCTATGTAATAATGTAGCCGATATACAACCAATCTCCAACCACTGACCTGATAATATAGTGCTATAGAGATCTATGTAATAATGTAGCCGATATACAACCAATCTCCAACCACTGACAAGATAATATAGTGCTATAGAGATCTATGTAATAATGTAGCCGATATACAACCAATCTCCAACCACTGACAAGATAATATAGTGCTATAGAGATCTACGTAATAATGTAGCCGATATACAACCAATCTCCAACCACTGACAAGATAGATAATATAGTGCTATAGAGATCTATGTAATAATGTAGCCGATATACAACCAATCTCCAACCACTGACAAGATAATATAGTGCTATAGAGATCTATGTAATAATGTAGCCGATATACAACCAATCTCCAACCACTGACAAGATAATATAGTGCTATAGAGATCTATGTAATAATGTAGCCGATATACAACCAATCTCCAACCACTGACAAGATAATATAGTGCTATAGAGATCTATGTAATAATGTAGCCGATATACAACCAATCTCCAACCACTGACCTGATGATATAGTGCTATAGAGATCTATGTAATAATGTAGCCGATATACAACCAATCTCCAACCACTGACCTGATGATATAGTGCTATAGAGATCTATGTAATAATGTAGCCGATATACAACCAATCTCCAACCATTGACCTGATGATATAGTGCTATAGAGATCTATGTAATAATGTAGCCGATATACAACCAATCTCCAACCACTGACCTGATGATATAGTGCTATAGAGATCTATGTAATAATGTAGCCGATATACAACCAATCTCCAACCATTGACCTGATGATATAGTGCTATAGAGATCTATGTAATAATGTAGCCGATATACAACCAATCTCCAACCATTGACCTGATGATATAGTGCTGTAGAGATCTATGTAATAATGTAGCCGATATACAACCAATCTCCAACCATTGACCTGATGATATAGTGCTATAGAGATCTATGTAATAATGTAGCCGATATACAACCAATCTCCAACCATTGACCTGATGATATAGTGCTATAGAGATCTATGTAATAATGTAGCCGATATACAACCAATCTCCAACCATTGACCTGATGAATATAGTGCTATAGAGATCTATGTAATAATGTAGCCGATATACAACCAATCTCCAACTATTGACCTGATAATATAGTGCTATAGAGATCTATGTAATAATGTAGCCGATATACAACCAATCTCCAACCATTGACCTGATGATATAGTGCTATAGAGATCTATGTAATAATGTAGCCGATATACAACCAATCTCCAACCATTGACCTGATGATATAGTGCTATAGAGATCTATGTAATAATGTAGCCGATATACAACCAATCTCCAACCACTGACCTGATGATATAGTGCTATAGAGATCTATGTAATAATGTAGCCGATATACAACCAATCTCCAACCATTGACCTGATGATATAGTGCTATAGAGATCTATGTAATAATGTAGCCGATATACAACCAATCTCCAACCACTGACCTGATGATATAGTGCTATAGAGATCTATGTAATAATGTAGCCGATATACAACCAATCTCCAACCACTGACCTGATAATATAGTGCTATAGAGATCTATGTAATAATGTAGCCGATATACAACCAATCTCCAACCACTGACCTGATAATATAGTGCTATAGAGATCTATGTAATAATGTAGCCGATATACAACCAATCTCCAACCACTGACCTGATAATATAGTGCTATAGAGATCTATGTAATAATGTAGCCGATATACAACCAATCTCCAACCACTGACCTGATAATATAGTGCTATAGAGATCTATGTAATAATGTAGCCGATATACAACCAATCTCCAACCACTGACAAGATAATATAGTGCTATAGAGATCTACGTAATAATGTAGCCGATATACAACCAATCTCCAACCACTGACAAGATAATATAATGCTATAAAGATCTATGTAATAATGTAGCCGATATACAACCAATCTCCAACCACTGACCTGATAATATAGTGCTATAGAGATCTATGTAATAATGTAGCCGATATACAACCAATCTCCAACCACTGACCTGATAATATAGTGCTATAGAGATCTATGTAATAATGTAGCCGATATACAACCAATCTCCAACCACTGACAAGATAATATAGTGCTATAGAGATCTATGTAATAATATAGCCGATATACAACCAATCTCCAACCACTGACAAGATTATATAGTGCTATAGAGATCTATGTAATAATGTAGCCGATATACAACCAATCTCCAACCACTGACCTGATAATATAGTGCTATAGAGATCTATGTAATAATGTAGCCGATATACAACCATTGTTCAACCATTGACCTGATAATATAGTGCTATAGAGATCTATGTAATAATGTAGCCGATATACAACCAATCTCCAACCACTGACCTGATAATATAGTGCTATAGAGATCTATGTAATAATGTAGCCGATATACAACCAATCTCCAACCACTGACCTGATAATATAGTGCTGTAGAGATCTATGTAATAATGTAGCCGATATACAAACAATCTCCAACCACTGACAAGATAATATAGTGCTATAGAGATCTACGTTATAATGTAGCCGATATACAACCAATCTCCAACCAATGACAAGATAATATAGTGCTATAGAGATCTACGTAATAATGTAGCCGATATACAACCAATCTCCAACCACTGACAAGATAATATAATGCTATAAAGATCTATGTAATAATGTAGCCGATATACAACCAATCTCCAACCACTGACAAGATAATATAGTGCTATAGAGATCTATGTAATAATGTAGCCGATATACAACCAATCTCCAACCACTGACAAGATAATATAGTGCTATAGAGATCTATGTAATAATGTAGCCGATATACAACCAATCTCCAACTATTGACCTGATGATATAGTGCTATAGAGATCTATGTAATAATGTAGCCGATATACAACCAATCTCCAACCATTGACCTGATGATATAGTGCTATAGAGATCTATGTAATAATGTAGCCGATATACAACCAATCTCCAACCATTGACCTGATGATATAGTGCTATAGAGATCTATGTAATAATGTAGCCGATATACAACCAATCTCCAACCATTGACCTGATGATATAGTGCTATAGAGATCTATGTAATAATGTAGCCGATATACAACCAATCTCCAACCATTGACCTGATGATATAGTGCTGTAGAGATCTATGTAATAATGTAGCCGATATACAACCAATCTCCGACTATTGACCTGATGATATAGTGCTATAGAGATCTATGTAATAATGTAGCCGATATACAACCAATCTCCAACCATTGACCTGATGATATAGTGCTGTAGAGATCTATGTAATAATGTAGCCGATATACAACCAATCTCCGACTATTGATCTGATGGTATAGTGCCATAGAGATCTATGTAATAATGTAGCCAATATACAACCAATCTCCGACTATTGACCTGATGATATAGTGCTATAGAGATGTATGTAATAATATAGCCGATATTCAACCAATCTCCAACCATTGACCTGATGATATAGTGCTGTAGAGATCTATGTAATAATGTAGCCGATATACAACCAATCTCCAACCACTGACCTGATGATATAGTGCTATAGAGATCTATGTAATAATGTAGCCGATATAC